AGAAAGAGAAAGAAAAAAAAAAGCGCAGGCAAGCAACGCGGAAAGCAGGGGGGGGAAAAGGGGGTCGTTCCAGTGTCGAGTGATACTAGCTGGTCCAACTGATACTTAGATTAACACATACATTTTTTTTGCAGTCGATTGAGTAATATATGTTTGTTGTAAAAATCTTGAGGAAGGTTCTCTTATATATCAGACCTAACAACTGTACAAGTTGTATAACAACAGTGGATAAAATCTACAAGACCGAACCTGAGACCGAATTATAAGAAAATGATTCCAATAGATAATAGCTACCATCTAGTCTAAGACATAAGCTAGTGTTTAGTTTTTTATTCGTTCATTATAACCGTTTGTGCAATACATACACCATAAATTCCTTGGGAAAGACAATACGAACAGCACAACGAGGTCGGCATCGGGCACCCGCAGGGCAAGGTTCCCTCCCAAAGTATTCTTGAAGTCGATAAGGTTTCTCAATCTTTTGTACGTTAATTTTCTTTAACACCTATTTACGTTATTAATCCAAACATTAAAGTGCCATAAATATTTTTAATGCCATTAATTATTGTTACTATTTTTATGTTTTTTTTTTTTTTTTTTTTGTCATCCGAAATTAATTAAAACTCAAAAGAACCACCTTTGGTTCTCAATATGGCGACGATGCTCAACAAACACATAAATTTTCTTTCACTGTTATTATTAGCGCTCTTTGTATTCCCAAAATCAAATGCATTGCCAATCAAAGAGGGAAAACGGCCAAAATCCACCCAGACTATTTGCTGGCGGTTTTTTTCAACCCGAACTTTGATCTCCTGCATGTTTCTAAGAACCCTAATTTTATTTTTTTTCCCCAATTTGAAAACGGCGTCGTTTTGCAATCAAAACACCAAACCAAATGTTAACCGACGTCGTTTTATCAAGCCCAGATGCCACGAGTGATGCCACGTAGTCGCTGACTCGGCACAGTTTAACGGTCTCATCACGCCGTCAAAGCAGATGTTGAAATCGGCAAAAAATTATATAATTTGGGTTTGGAATTTGAATTTATATGTGGTCTGGGTTGATTTATGCAGGAGATCAAAATTCGGGTTGAAAAAGGCCGCCAACAAATAGTCCGGGTGGATTTTGGCCGTTTTCCCCAATCAAAGACGTATACAGTCTTTGCAAGGAGTTAGTAGATTTCTGCCTCAAAAAAATTGGGTCGAACAAACAAATAGTAGCCGCACGCGACTTCAATGACGTGTTTCTAATCGCGGTACGTCAAAATCAGACCTGTGCTTACCTCATAGAATTAAAAGCGATTGCCTAATGCCACCAAAATAATAAGCATTAGAAGGCCAAATTTTATTCAAAAATTAGATATATGTATATAGTTTAATATTATGTATTAGAGCTTTTTGTTTGAGAAATGCATAAAATTAATAAATAAAAATTCACAAGGAAATTAAATGGTTAACGATCTTGTTTATACTTTTCGAATTGTTTTATATATTTTTTTTAATATGTTAATTTTAAAAACGAAGGCTACATTAATCGAAATTACCTAAGGCCTCTGTGAAACCTAAGCACAATACTGGTTATAATGTAACAATTATAGTTAGTTTTTTTTTCTTAATTATGCATAAATTCATGTGGTAGAAACTAGGATTGAGAAGTATTTTAGTAATATTAATGATCTAATTTAGATTTAATAAAAGAAAACTGAATAACTGTAACCACGAAGCAAATTAATTGTTAAAACTAACATCCGTTAAGAACAGAACAAATCACAAATATTGGATTTGAAAACGCAAATTAAATATTTGCTCTACTTAGGTCCATGCATACTTAACATATAAATACATAGATAAATAGACATAAATTAATTACATTTAGAAGATCGTTTTCATTAAATTAATTATTATAAATCAAGAAAATATCTACACAAACTTTTGATATAAAACTGATTTGTTTTAATTTAATATTAGTAATTTCTATTTTTATCTTTTTTTTCTTGGAGATAAAAGAAGATTAGATATATTGTCAAATATCTAGATTTTTTGAACTTTAAAGTTTGACTATATATAGCTTCAAAGATGGTCACATTTATTACAAAAGAGAGGCAAAAGATTTGGTTCTATATATGTAAATAAAGTTACTTACGGATAATAACGGATAAAACTTAGGGATGATAATGGATTAGTAAAAAATTGTAACCTCAACATTTCATGTATCACTAAATGGCATCCAAAGTACTAAAATACTAAAGAAAATTGTAGTTTATTAATATTCTACAAAAATATATATATATATATATATATATATATATACATACAGTAGTTTTTTTTTTTAAAAAATTGATGACTCATACCTTGTTATCAGATATCTAAATTCCAAATATGGGTGGACATAGGAGTCCAAGAATCAAGAAGTGATCTTTTCCGCAAAGTGTATAGTGATCCAATTAGGAAGCCTTGGCTCGCTGTATGCGAGAAAAAATACGAGATGGCGTCCAATAATGTTAAAGGCATCCTCAATGGGGATCACTTTTGGGTGTTCTTAGAGTAAAAATATGGTTAAAAAAATGTAAGATCAGTAGTTAAGATTTTTTGTTAAAAGTTGATTAGACACTTGTTGCCGTGAAATTGAAGATTTCGGAGGAGGAAGAAGAAGAGAAATGGGGCTTTTTTTCCTTTGCCAAAGTTGAACCCAATCAGAATTAGACACATGTCTCTAAGATCGTTTCAAGAACAGATCTGGCCAAGGCTCGGGAAGTTGGTCAGAAAAAGTCTCAGTCATTAACAGACCGTACGGAAATGTCCCAACTCACGGAAGCTGGCTTTGAGGCTGTGCTCGATTGCGACGACGAATGGACAAAGGATATAAATCATTCACAAGTGTCTCCTTTTGCTGGCTGGTACCATGATGTTCGAAACCTAATTAAAATTATTCGTGTTATTATTAGAAGGCTTAACGCTTAGTTGTATCGTTACTTGGGACATTATTTGTTTAGCTTATTCACTAACACGACACGTGTAACGAACTGGATTTTTCTCTGCTTCTTGATTTATTTTCTGTAATATTAATTGGTTAATTAATGAATAAGATTTTCTTTTTTTTGAAGTAATCCAAAGAAGATAGAAAATCATTGAGAAATTGTGCTTATTCGAATGTACTCTATTTTCTATCTGATTGGAAACTTTATCAGATAACGCAGCCAAATTTGCAAGTGGACGACACAACCATTCATATTGACAGAGTCCGTCAAAAGGAGTCTGAATGGATGGAGGTTTGCAAGACAAATTATTACTATTTGTGTATTACAAAAATATACCAAACCAAACCAAAACTCAACTGAACCTGACCAAGGCAACCACCTCTTATGAGTTATGATCAACAGAGTTTGTCACGCAGTTATAAACTGGATTTTCTTAAATATTTATTGGTTCAATGATAAAAATTTCTCGGCTTTTTTGATAATTTAGGATCATAAGTGCGTTTATAACATGACGGTTTAAGTTTCGAAGCAATTAGGGGATAAAGACGAATGAGATTTGCAAGCAAGAAACCAAGTCAAGAGATAAAATGATGCTAACGACTGTTCTAGTGTAATTTTAGATGAGACCTGGGACCGAGGCCAGATTACCGTGAGGCGCTGCTTTGGTTCCGGCTTTCCAACAACCTTTGCCAAACCATTTTTCCACAATGCACAAGAGTCAAAGATGCCACAAGGTAAAGAAGAGGAATGCCGATCACACAACCTTCCGATGCAAAATTCACCAATGTCTAGCAAGAATCAAGAAAAAAAAAAAAAAATCATCGTTCGCCTGTCCTAACCAGTAAAGGATATAGACAATACATGTGATATTGAAAATCTGAGATCTTACCAACATTCCAGCAGCAAGGTGTATGACTGGAACTATTACTTGATCTACTTTGTTCCCTTTTGCATACCCTTCGAAAGCAATGACCATCGAGAATGTGTGGATCGTAACAAATGCAAGAGCAATGATTGCTGTGAGACATGGATGTAAAATTACAACATGAGTACTAGTGCACTAGACAAAAACCAAACCACTAGGTGACAAAGCATAATAATCTATCTTGTGCAAACAAGACTTGGGTTCAGTTGACTCACCAGAGATGAGAAAAAATGGCACCTTCGAACATCTTTCGACATAGAATGTGGCCGGACCAAACGCTGGAGTTAAGAGGCTCAAACAAAAGAAGACAGCATGCGCCACACCATGACCTAAGCCACCAGCTGCATGCAATTGACTGGAATAGTCTTAGATCATGTCAAAGAGTAAGAAATGGGATGCATAACAGGTGCTGGGTGGGTTCTAGGTTCCATGTTAGTTTCAGTTATATCATTATCGAACCTATTCTACAGCATTCTCTTTCTTCCAGAAACAAATGCCTAAATATGATTCGCTCAAGCTTCGGACAAGATTTAAGACCAAGGCAGACAAATCGCGGGAAAAATTTCAAGATCAAGGATTCAAGATACTTGCAACCCATTTCCTTCATGTTTCTTTATCAGACAGCAAGAGTCCACAGGTGTGTTTTCTTACCTGATAATATAGACTTAACACAAAAGCCGCATACAATCTTTGAAATAACTAAAGATCATCTTCGAAAAATAAACGGGAAAGCGTACCTAGAGCAATCTGCAGCTTATCAGTGAGAAACAGGCGGGGCCTTGAGATACGATCCGCAAAGGAATCCAAGACATCCTCAAGCCTCCTTCAGTATAACAACACAGATAACATGTTTCAAAACAAGCTATACACAGCCAATCTGCCTATCTATCATACATATATTGCCCCGTAAAGGAACAAACATCAAATTAACAAAGGATAAACAACTCAGATAGATTCCGGTTATGCAATGTAATAGGAAGAAGAACAAACTTACTTGTAAACCTTCCAGAACAGAAAGCGAAGGCCTTCCTGGAAACAGACAGAGGTGATAACAAGTAAAGCATAAGGCCACCACACATTGGCTTTGAGAGGAAGAAAAGGTCTCCACAATCCCGACAAGATGATCAGACTCACAAGCCACAGCAATGTACTGCATTACATTTACCAAGCAAATCAATCAATCTCCCAAAACCCTAATCTTGGCGAAATACTCAAACACTAGACAAAAGCAGACCCAACATTTCGAATCGAATCACATGGTTAGCTTTTTGGGGAAACAACAAAAACCCAATCCGGAATAGGCAGAGCGATTGTGAAAGAGAAAGAAAGAACCTGGAGAGAACAGTGAGGATGAGAAAGGGCTTTCTGGAGATGACAGAGACGAAAAGTGAAAGAGACGGTCCCAAAGCCACCAGCGCGTACCCGATCCCCGCCGCGACCGTCATGCCCCACCGGCGTTGTCGCAACTAGTCGTCGCTCAGAGACTTCCAAATGGTCAAACTCTCTCTACTCCAAACGTTGAAAGAACTCTTGAATCGATCAATTTTTTTTGGTGTGGTTGTGTAACAAAAATCTGACTTTTCACTTCCTTCATTGAAAATATTGGAATTTTAACACCAGAAAAAAAATTAATTACTGATGAAAAAAAAAATTAATTACTTGGTCTCTTCGAAATCCATAATAATTAATTATCTGCAATCTTCCTAACTTGCTCTAATCCAATATACATAGGCAAGTTTTCATCCTCAACATACAAGATTTAGTTGCAATCCTCGAAGCTCTAACAGACTTCTTGGATGCAAAGAGAGAAACTAATCAAAAAATGGTTTTTGTTTCTCTCAAAATACAGAGGTCTTGGACTTTGGATCATGGTTCTTTGCTTCGGTTAGATTTCTTCAATTTGGAAGATGGGCTTGATGTCTCTTTGAATGCAGCAGGACAAAGCTTAGTGACACTGCAAGCTTCGCAGCGAGGTCTTAATGGTGTGCAAATCGTTTGTCCAAACCCCACCTGTGTATGATTGTCAGACAAGACATGAATGAAGATCAGAAGGGCAGCTATGCTATTCAATAATTTCATGGAATTGTATAGTCTCATGTGTGTTCAAGGTAGAAGAATTGATGAGAATGACGCACCAAAAGCGGGTTAATGGCAACCCATTCTTCCTTTGGAAGCCATTGTTGCAAAGCTACTCTTGTTTCCTCTGGAGATGTAGTTTTCTAGCAAATCACAGATTGCGAATGAGTGACAAAGATCAGGCAAACAGAAGTGGAGACAATCTGCTAGGTATGCCACAATACAATTTCTGATTGAAGCCAATTTAAAAGCACCTGTTTGGTTCCTGGACGAGACACCCAACCAAGTCGATTGCAAATGCGATGCACATGTGTATCTACACATATACCTTGGACATCATTCCATGCTATATGCAGAATCTGCCATATGATAACAGAAGAAAACTTTGACAAGCTTTTTGAAAACATTTCACCTAACTCACACGATATATGTAATAATCTAGTTGATTTTTTACCAGATGGGCCATCTTGGGACCAATCCCTGGAAGAGACAGCAGGTCGTCCAAAGAGCTAGGAATGTCTCCGTTGTATTTCACTAGACAAATTCTAGCTATTTTCTTCATATATGTAGCCTTCCTTGTATAAAATCCAACCTGAAAGTAAAGGCAAACTGTTAATTTCGTAACCAAGATTTTACTAAGGTTAAGGCCCTTTTCTTCTATATAGAGTCTCTCATTCCTTTCCTTATTTCAACCTTTTTTTGAGAAATTGGCATAAAAATTAGCATACCAAGGGGCTCATGTCAGAGGCAATGATGTGAAGAAGTAATACGACACTTGGATAACATACCGGATAGATCAATTCTCTTATAGTTGATTCATCAGCTTTGTCAACGGCTTCCGGTGTAAGAAGGCTGTTTTGATGAAGACGATGTATTGCCGCTGCATGTTGAAAGCGTCTGAATAGTAAGTATGCATGTATAATCATGAAACTTGTAAATGCAGATGATTTGAGTGTAAACTAGAAAAGTGAAATAATTGTTTCTAACAGCACAAAACTTACCGTTATTAACTTGATCTTTTGTCTGACTTGAAAGAAGTGCTCCTAGCAAGACAGCAAATCTTCTTTCCTAGGTATAGCAAAAAATGATCAGTATTGAAACAAGAACAATCCATCCCTCTGATTTGAATCATAGCTTGATCTTATGAAATATGAAAACAACTAAGAGAAAAAAAAAAGGTGCTTTCTTGAACAATCGATAAGAATCCTTTCCTAAGCTATTCACTAGCAATAAGTACATCAAAATTAATAAGAGACTCGGGGACAAATGTGCTTTAAACGGTAAACAGAAAACCTCAAAGAGCTAGAAACTCAGTGTATCTCATAGCATACTTCCACACAAAAACTAAACACTAAACTGAGGAAAATGAATATACCGTAGGAGGTAGAAAGCTTCCGGCCTTATCACATCCCATAGAATCAACTGGTGCATCTTCAGAAGATCTCATTTGACGAATTCCCTCGAGCACTTTTACCCAGTTTTCAGGCGGATTTCCTGGAGTATACACATAACCAGTTACTGTGTGTGAAGAAATCTGTAAAGTAAAAACCGCACCAACCCTATCATTAAGGTCCTCGCTGCATGATAATATACCTGCTGTTTTGACTGAAGTCACAGTGATGCTAGTTTCCGTTGACCTCCCTGCAAAAACTGGATAATGAGTTTCTCTTGACCGTTTAAAGAATCTTCTTGATGATAGAATTTTCCTACCAACTTATATTCAGATTAAATATGTAAGACATTCAATGACAAGTACATATCATGCAACTAGTTTAGAAAGTAGTCAGATTCTTTGGCTATTTCTTTCTACCCGGTGATTGATATTAAGTTTAATGAATGGTTGGGAATATGAAATTCTGAGTTTATATAATGAGACTTACTAGATGAAGGAGATCCAATAGTCTTTTTGTAAGCAAAATCTTCTATATCGGGTAAACCACGTAGCTGCTGCATCATTAAAAATTAAAAGCCCGAAGACATTACATTAAGCAACACATAAGACTCTAAATAGTAAATACAAACACAAGGTCATATATGGTCATGGAACAAATGGAAACACTAATCAAGGTTTTCTCTCATTTGCTGAAGCATAATCATAGCATAGCCAGGGCAACAAATAGGATCAGTAACAACCTCATCAGGTTGGGTCAGATAAACTTAAAACTAAAGACATTTGGATAATGAGGACAAAATCTGAACCAAGTAAAACTCACTCCCAAGAAAGTATCACACTTGAGATCAAGGAGGTGCAATCTCCAGAACCCAATCCTACAAAATTGTAAACACTCAATTTCGTTTTCTAAATAGGGAAAAAGGAGGAAACTTACTTTGTGGGTATTGACTCCTTTGCCGGGATTTATCTCCAGAGGCTCCGAAGCTTCCTGCTTTAGTCTTTTCTTTCGGGTATACACTCGAGTCACCGACCCAGAAGCTCCATTGGCTGGTTTGAGTGCAACATTACTAGTCACGATGATAACAACAACAGCAACACATAATTTCCATGGAATTTGAACAGAGAGAGAGAGAGAGAGAGAGAAAAGAACCTGAGTTGGAATCGGAGAGAGGACGTTGGGTTTTTGAGGAGATTGGTTTAGAAGAAGAAGATACAGCTCCGTGAATTTGGCGATTCATGGTTGGAATTCGAGAACACCAAACGGCGTTGTGAACTGTGAAGGGCTAAAGAAGAATTGAAAATGTTCGTGTCATGTCATGTGAGTCTTTTGAAATTATGAATCAAAGTTGATTTTTTTTTTCTCCCAAAAAATGAAACTAAGCCGTATTTTTGTTAAAATATACAGTATTTGGTAACTAATTAACAATTTATTTTATTAATAAGAAGATTATTAGTTTTTAGTGAAGTATTTTTTTTTTTTGGTAGAAAGTTTTTAGTGAAGTATTACAGAGAAGAAAAGTCGACAAAAGAATAATAAGATTAATTTGACAAAAAAAAAATAATAATAAGAAAAAATCTATATATACATTTTTGGATGACTTTTAGCAAATAAATTTTGGAAAAATCATACAACGGTCATAAAGTTATAAACGTCATTAAACGGAAAAAAATAAAGCGAGATTATATGAATTATGAAATATATATATAGATCGCAGGCTCATTTTATCTCTCTCTCGCTCTACTTTCAATTTAATTTTCTTCTGTACCAAGCTTCGTCCAAGAACCCTAGAAACATGGATGAGACACCAAAGAACACTACTCCAGAATCTTCTTCTTCTGAGCGACGGATCACGGAGTCGTTCAAGAAAGATGCCGAAGTTGGACCTACACCAAAGAACACTACTCCGGAATCTTTTTCTTCAGAGCGACGGATCACGGAGTCGTTCAAGAAAAATGCGGAACCAAAGAACACTACTCCGGAATCTTCTTCTTCTGAGCGACGGATCACAGAATAAATCACATTATTTTGCCGAGAAATAATACAAGAATCGTAAAATTGCAACATTTTTGTTTTTCTTTTTATTTATTATGTCAGAAGAATTATTAATTTAAGAATAAATCACATTATTTTGCCGAGAAAGAAGCAAATTATAAAATCGACTATTTCCCTCTCGATAGACTATAGTCAAGACCAAATTTACGAAAAAAAAAAACAAAAAGAGAGTCTATTTTATCAAATTACAAATCAAACCTGAAATTGTTTTTCTCCAAAATTGAAACTACTAAATCTGTATTTTTTTTTTGTTAAATGTTAAAATCTATTTTACGAGATTTTAAGCAAATAAAAAGAAAAAGAAAGTGGTAATTAATTCATAATTTAACCAAAATTAAAAAAAATGTGGGTGGAATACAAAAAAATAAACGGTCGACAAAAAAACAGTAATAAAAAAAATACATATAATATATTTCTAGATCATTTAGAGCACGTCGAACTTATGCATGTGTTTTGAGGACTTAATATAACTTGAGATTTTGTAACAATAAACAAATAAACATCAATTTTTGAAATAAGAACTATAACAATAAATAAATATTTGATTTTTAAACACATATTTTCAAACATAATTCAATCCAAAAGATATGAATCAAGGGTCACTATAATTGATCAATATTTCATTATTTTTGTTTGAAATTTGCACTAGCCTCAAAAACAACAATAAAAGTTTAATATTATTAGATGATAATCCAAAATTATAATGAAAAATCTTATGAATTGATTTTGTCGCCGGTTTATATATAGAGAAGATCATAAGTAAAAAGTTTACGTTTTTAATTACTGACAATAGTCATCCAATAACCAAAAAATGTTCACAAAACCAATGAAAAGATAAGGACTCTAATAAGATCTTAAGAGCCAAATGAGCTATACTAAAGAATGTCAACTTAGAAAGTTTACAAATGTTTGCACAGGTTCGAAGTATTCTATATGGTCTAGAAAAAATGTAATTGTATTTACCCTTAAATGCTCTCATTTATTGGATTGTAACTCTTTGGATAGTTTTCCTCTCGAAATTATAGTAGAAAACAAAGAAAGGATAAGATGGAAAGCCTGATGTCGGGGAAGGGATTTTGGATAGTTTTGGGATCCGTACTAATATACTGGAGATGGGAGCCGTCCTTCAAATAATAGCCTGCAAGATTGTTAGGAACGGCTTCTTCATGTACGGCATCATCATGAATGGCTTCTTGATCATGTACAACATCGTCAGGAACCACATTGTCATGGCCGTCATCATCTGGACGCGCTGCAATGTCAGTACCAACATGACCGAAAAGAACTAAGGTAAAGCACATGTCACCTTGGCCAGAACGGAATGACCACATATCAATGTAATTCTTTCCACTAAAATTGGTTTTCTCCAATACACGATTTCAACCATGGACAATAACAAAACCCCACTTTCCTTTGGTTTTCCATTTCATCAAATAGACTTCAGTTTTTTGACAGAGGCTATCTACCAAAGATACTCACAAACCTTTATGGGCTCGATTGTCATTCACCAACAATTCTGTCTCCAAGGTCAAAATTTTTTTATGGTCCAAGAAACTTGGATCCATTAGGTGACTTTGAAGAACTAATAGACATGCTTGGCGTCTGCTTACGTCATTCTTGGTTAGTTTCCTTGACATTAAATTTAGTAAGCTTACGGCATGACTGTAAATTTAGTAAATGCCCAATTAACATTTTTAAAAAAAAAAATTAAAGAAGAGACAAAATACAGAGATCTGGGAACTTCGATGATGGCAAATTGAAACCCAGCGACAGTCGCTGCTTTGAAATTAAGGGTTGGGTTGTGTCGCTGTTTTCTCCGGTGTTTCTAAAATCTCAAGTTTTTAGTCGTAGTGATTGAGAATAGAAAAGATGAAGAAGAGATAAATGAGATTGAAAGGCAATTCAGTTATATAAAACCAGTCGCTGGTGAGAATCACACGATTCTTAAAGGAACAAGGCCATAATCGAAATATATCTCTGTTTGAATTTTGGCAACAAAGAAATTAAAACCCTAGATAAGAAGAGGAGTGTTATTTCACATATTTCATCTCGTATGGCTAATGTTAAAGCGGATAATCTGGCACGAAAAGTTCGTACAGAACCGTTTCATATCACATATGTAAACAACATTCCTTAGGAATGAATCTTTAAGCTATAATTAATTTCAGATAACAAAAAGAAAAAGAGGAGTTTTATTAAATGATAAATAGTATATATATACATACACATCGTTTCTCTACCCTTTCTTGCTTGACCGTAAATATATAATTATCGACATTTTTGGTTTGAATTCTGGCAACCAAAACAAAATCATATGGCCCCCCCCAAGTTTAACAATGTTTTTTGTTCGAACCCCAACGTGTTGCTTAGTTTGTCTCCACTCATAACTAAAAAATAATCTTTAATTGTCAATTTTTATTTTATTTTATATTTTGTCTTACTTTGTATACTTAAAATACATTGTGATTCATAAATAAACACCAATTAAGTTAGTGACAATAAATAGGTCTTATTATATTTTAATTGGCAATATTTTTGTTGTATCATCTAATTATATATCCACTCGGACTGCATGGACTCAGCTCTTAATCCATTTATAAAATCCACTAATTACAAATTTGGTAAAATTCGGAAAAACAAAATCATAGGGAAAATCCGTATTAACATGCGACCTAACATGCGTGATATGGTTTAAATGAGCTTCCAAGAAATCTAAAATGTCATCAGCGTAACCTACGATTAGGGACCTTGGAAGTCACGGGTTCGATTCACGTTGGGAGGAGTCTGCTCTCCAAAAGAGAGTTATATTACATGGTTTGGGTCTCGCCCTGGGGGATGTACGGGCCTACAGGCTCAGAACCTCCTAGTCATCAAAAAAAAAAAAAAACATATATACATCTTGTAAAAGAGTTGATGAAGATTTAAAAAATTTAGATTGCTCGAAAGCTAAGAAGATGTGTGTTTGGTAAATTTGAGACGGTGAAGATGATATCAGGGAATATATTTATAGAGAAATATTTTTGTAGGGTTCGGTTTAATTTTTGAAATTTGGATTACCTTCAAAATCTGAAAAATAATTTATTGTTGATTTTATGATAGATTTAGTTTTGAGAATTAATTTTATAAATATAGTTTGGATTTATGAACCTAGGAAATTTTGTACTTACAAAAGTTATAAAAATATATTCTAATATATTAATTTACATGAATTATACGCTTACATGTTTTTTTTTTGTCAACAGCTTTATTGGATTGGCTCAAATGAGCCAATGTGGAGGAATGTTGTTTACATAAGTAGATAGTTGCGGTAGGGTACGAACATTTCGTGCCAATTTATCCGCCTTCACATTCAAATTTCTAGAAATTAACGATAAAGAGAAAAAATCAAACTCCTCCTTGTCGCTCTGAATCGCCTCCAAGTAGGTCGCGAACGCTGGCCACTCGTGTGGGGAAGACACCATCTTCACCAAATCGGAGCAGTCTGTAAGGAAAGCTACTTCTCTTTTATCTTGGCCGATCATACATCTCATCGCCCAGATTAGTGCTTCAGCCTCTGTGTGGAGTGAGGTCAAGCTTCTTCGAGTATTTGCAGCTCCCATGTCGTGCGTTTCTTCGTTTGGATACGAACAAAACCATCCTAATCCTGAAAAACAATCACTTTCTTTCCAAGAACCATCTAAGAAACATCGATAACCTGATTGATTATGCCCGATATGTTCCACTCTACAATGAGATTGATTAATTGTTGCCACCGTCTCTAGGTTATCATCCGAGATCTCTACCTGAGCCAATTGCCAGGCTTGCTCTTCATTTTCTGCCAATCTTAATATATCAATCGGAGATCTCTACGCTTACATGTTTGAGTTGTTAAATATTATATATATATATATATATATGTATATATGTTAGTCTGGATTTAAAAAAATAGACCTTAGATCAATTTAATATATATATATATATATATACATATACACAAATCCTTTATGTATAGATAGAGATATAATGTTTGTATTACTGATGTTTAATGTTAATTAACGAAATAATTAGAATATCATGGCACATTTGTAATTAATCTAGTAATATTTGGGTAATTAATTGTATAAACCATAAATCTCTGTGAACACGACACGTCAGCATGGTAATCTTGTAAATTACACAGAGGGGCAAGGTTTTTTTAAAATACATTGTGATTCATAAATAAACACCAATTAAGTTAGTGACAATAAATAGGTCTTATTATATTTTAATTGGCAATATTTTTGTTGTATCATCTAATTATATATCCACTCGGACTCCATGGACTCAGCTCTTAATCCATTTATAAAATCCACTAATTACAAATTTGGTAAAATTCGGAAAAACAAAATCATAGGGAAAATCCGTATTAACATGCGACCTAACATGCGTGATATGGTTTAAATGAGCTTCCAAGAAATCTAAAATGTCATCAGCGTAACCTACGATAACATAACAATTTTATTTAGTTTTTTGAATGCGCAAATATCTAGCTATGTCTTCTTATTCCTTTGAGAACACACAAATTCTAGCCATAATAAATAGTTTTAGTGTTGAAAAGCACCACTTTAGTCTTTATAAACCATGTTGAAGAAATAGAAAATTGCATCATAACTTCATAACCTTACAAATATATACATAGAAAGAAATTTCTCACGGATCATTTCTTCTCAGATGAGGCAGGCGCATGAGATTTATGCTTTACCATACAATTATGCAAAGCACATTTGTACTCAAGTCTCTTGTAAAATATGACTTACTTATCGGCTTATCGCTCGTGCATAACCTAGGAAAGGATTGTCCTCTGTTATGCGCAAGCAAAAGGATGGATTGTCCTTGTTTCACTACTAATGATTATTTGTATTTTGCAATATCTAGGAAAGAAGATTTGTTGTGATCCTTTTAAGTCAGACAAAAGATCAAGTTAATAACAAACGGTGAATTTTGTGTCGCTAATTAAAAAAACAATTATTTCATCGTTCTGTTATACTACAATCATCTTATAAGATGAAACAACCATGCATCTTATACAAGCATAGAACTCAATGAGAACATATACTTCAGCTCTTTGATAGATCCAACACATGTACATATAAATGCTACCTGTATTTACTATCTCACAGATAACCAATCCAAGAACAAAATTGTCGCGAATGCAGATGATTGTTTGGCAAGTATACACTATGATGCTATATCCTCGGGTTATTGAACCTGTAAAGCCTTCTCTTTTCATAGAGAATCGTCAAACAAGAAACCATCAGTGTTGAAATCTGAATCTATGCCTTCTCTTCCCCTGAACTCGCAAAGCCCGACCGCCTTTTCTATAGAGAAATCATTCATCAAAGCAAAGTCATCTTCTAAGAATGTCCTGGATTTGCGTGTCATGATGAGCTTCTTAGGTGTTTTTTGCTCCTTAAGTATTTCTACAGTCTCATCTGCAGCTTCAACAGGTACCACCTTTGAAGATATTTTGCTCGATTTTCTCAACCTCGACGGCAAACTTTTGTTTCTCTTCACACTGTTCCTTATAGGTTGTTCGTTCTTACTGATCTCGGTCTTCTTGGTGCAACTGTTGTTGCTGCTAGTGCTGATTGTTCTGTTTAGTTCTGGGATCCTTGTTGGTTTTGAATTTGATCCATGACCGTTGAACATGAGCTTCCTCTTACACCCTTCTTTGAGATCTAGCTTTCTTGTTTGGAGTTGTGCCCTCATTGATCTTGGAGACGTACCTGCAATTTTGGATCCTAGCGACTTCTTTCTCCGTGGAGACATGGAGAAATGCTTTAAGATATCCTCTGGTGTCCAATCAAACTTCTGCTCAAATGGCCAGAAAAGTGGCTCCACAGCAATCTTGCTCTTTGAGTCCTTAATCTCTGCACTCTTCTTTAACGAGGATGTCGCGGTGGTATTAGTAAGACCAGATGGCACGGCAGTTGAATTAACCGGTGAAGGAGACTTCTCTGTTTCTTCTACTGAGAAGCTAACTTTCTTTTCTTCAGGGCTCTGTGAAGTCAAATCAGGACTCACTAATCTATTGGAACTAGATGACTTTTCACATGGTTTCTGAGGACAAGGCTTGTTGTTGCTTTCTGGTAAACGCGAAGACGGCTTTGCAGAACCAGTTCCACGAGCTTTCCCAGCTGAGTTGCAAAATTTTCCATCCTTTCGAATGTTTTCCAAAGAACATTTTGCGTTCTTTGAACTTGTTTGCTGATGATTCTCTTTGGTTGATCTGGTGGATTCTTGATTTAAAGACAGAGAAGAGTTCGCCACACTAGACAACCATGAGACGATCTTTTCGTCTACTGAGAAATGAAACGAGACAGACAATCTTCGTTCCTCTAAAAGAGACGTAGGAGACGCGCAATCTGAAGACAACCAAATGGAGTCATTATCATCAAAACATCTCATCTTCATAAACTGTTTACCGGATTCATCGATCTTTTCACGCCTTGGTTGTGGCGAAACACCTGCAGATTTAGTCCTCTTAGTGTCTTTTGTTGTAGCATCTGGAAGAGCCTTTTTCCCCTGAGGCAGCCTCATGGATTCATAGTTAGCACCGGTTGATTTCGATCGTGGAAGAAGAAGTTTTGGATCACTTGTTGTGTTCTTCTTTTTCCTAATGGAGAAAGTTGATGTAACCCTCTTCACAAAACCTCTAGATCCATCTTTCCCACCACCTGTAGAAGCCATATATATTGTAGTTTCAGTTTAGCTCCTTCAATATTCAGAACCAAAATACAAAGTTTTGTTTGCTTTGAAAGCAGAGCAAATTAATCACAACATTAGCGTCTGATTAGAGATAACCAGAAACGGCAAATGCAGGAAAAATTCTTGTCATAATTCTCTGAACAGGAAAGCTAGAAAATGTCAACTACTTGAAAATGATTTATGAAATGAAAAATTCTTTAACATTCTTGATTAGTTGAGGTAATACAAATGATGTATCCATTAAAAAATTAATTGAAAAACTGTGACATACCAAGCACTAAGTTTTTTTTCTCTTCTGATGATGATTAGAAAGAGTCAATAAGCTTTGACCATTCACAAACAGAATCTTCTCGATAAAACTCATAAAAGCTCGAATTCAAACTTAAATACCGATCGGGACTAGAAGAATATGTAAATAAAATAGCTCTTGTTAAGAACCAAAACTAGCTTTCAAGAATTACTCTTAAAACATGAATTAACAATAAGAAACCTTTTGCGATTGAACGGCGAAATATATCCATTTGATGATGTTGAGAGTGAGAATCGAAGACGAAGAGGTGCAAGTCCGACACCCTGCATCAAGGATATGCAATTACTCGCAGTGTTTTGTTTTTTAAAGTTAATTATTTTTCTTTTGACATTATTAAAGTTAATTATTTAGTAAATGCAGAATGCATTTATGTGAGAATCCTACCAAAGTTTTTAAAAACCTTCAAGAAAAATCTACTCAAATTTAAAAAGATTCAAGGATCAACTTCAAATTTAAAAACTACCTGATCCATCATTTTTAATTTTAATTATATCACGATTTTTTCGTATGTTCAGTAAAATCGAACAAATAATATATTTCCCAAAATTTATAAACAATCTTAAAAAAAAAAAAAATGTTAGTCCCTGAAATAAAATCATGAAATTTTTTAAAACTGTTGGAAAAGCTAACCTTCTTAAACAAAAATAGTAAAATACTCGTATACGTAACTTTGGGCCCTTTTGTAAATGGGCTCATGGGCTTAAATCCCTGTCAAAATCTGATAATAACTGGTTAATCCAAAAACGATAAATTGAAAAACCAGTAGCGATTTGAGCTGACCAACCACAGTCGCGACAGAGCTAAAACCACCATTTTGAAGACGATTCGGAGAAGAGAGATTAACGTCAAATCGTCGAGGAAGCGAAGATGGGTGGAGGAATGGAAACGAACAAGAACAAGTTCATCGAGGATTGGGGATCTGCTAGAGAGAATCTCGAGCACAATTTCCGCTGGACTCGCCGTAACTTCGCTCTCATCGGAATCTTCGGCATCGCTCTCCCGATCATTGTCTACAAGGGAATCGTCAAAGATTTCGTGAGTTTGATCTCTCCCCCTATCTTATTCTCGATCCGATTTCTCCGGAGTTAGATATCTGTTTTGTGCCCTAATTTTTCATGTGTCGTATGGATTTGGATCGTTTGATACATTTGAAATTGGGGTTTAATTTAGATGGTGACTTTGTTGTAGATACATTTGAATTAGATCAGTTCTTATTGCTGAAACGACTGGATTCGGAACTGCATTTCACCTCCATACTAGTTCTTATTGATGGTTCGATTTCAGATTGATTATAACTCAATGTTTTGAGACCAACCAATGAAAGCCTCAGAATTGGAGTTAGGGCAGGAGAAATTGAGTTTTTTTTTGTTATCCTCAAGTCTTGATGTGTTTTAGCTTGGAAAAATTGGTTCTTTGCCTGTCAAAAATGGTTTTATCTGCTTCTGTAACTATTGTTCTGAGTTTGAGTATGAATGAGGTAATTTGGTTATGATAAGTTGTCTATGGTTTACTTTCAACATTCTTAATCTCTCAGCAGTTCATTGCTACAATCCTTGAGGATTCTTCCTCCATAGTAGTTTATAGTCTGTGTTGTGTTCTTGAATATAGATTCGTGTTAGGGCCATGTTTATGTGATTGATGCTCTATGGCATTCCTTGTTAGTGTTTGTCTATGCCGATTGAGATGGAAAAGAATTTATGTGTTACTTCCCAGTTCCCACACAATTGTGTAGTTATTGTGATTAATAATACTAAGTTCAAATCTAACGTACTCTAAACTCGATTTATGACAGCATATGCAAGATGAAGATGCAGGCAGACCACACAGAAAGTTCCTCTGAGGTTGTTTGCAAGAACACTCTCTGCAATAAGTCTCAGCAATGTGAAATTTCAAGACGAGGATGTTAAAACCCGCTTTTGCTTTTGCATTTTAATCAACATCTGAACTGAAGGGTATAATTTATTTTTTGGAAAAGTTTGTTGTAATGACTACACTTGTTTGCAAATAAACAAAACTCAGTTTTCCCTTGAGTTTGGCATGCTTATTGTGTGTTGGATTCGGCATATGCATTAAACATTTGTTCTGATAGCACAAAATAAAATGAAGCTGTGAACCAAATCAAAGGTCCGAAACAAAATAAATGGTTATTCTGAAAGCAAACCTTTGCACTTGGATATGAGTCAAATGGCGTATGTGGGTCGGTTATAGCTTAATAAGCGTGTATAGTCTTAAGAAGTAATGTCTCATTGTGAACTTAAAGCAAAAATACTCCATGTCTTTAACATTAAGTTCTGATATATGGATCGTCAAATAGATTTATAAGTTTAACCTTTTGGTTACAAATATAGTCATTTTCTTAAGAAAAAATTAACAAAATAAAGCAATTTTGAACACGTTAGAAGAAAATATAGCGGGAGGAGGAAACAGAAAGGAAAGGCAACAAATTTAACGGATTATTTAAAAACTCCAACGAACAGACTGTCTAAACCAAATATAGAAAGATTTCTCCAATCCATCCAATCTATGTTTCCCTCTCAATCTCCTCTCCTCTCTTTTAGGACTTTCCCTCTTTCTTCAAACTTACAACAAATTAACAAATAGAAAACGGAACACAAAGAGAACAGAAGAAGAAGAGAGAAGCCTCCCCAAAAAAACCCCCAGAAAAACCAAAAAAAAAAAAAAACAAGAGAAAGAACTCGAGCGCAAAAGCTTCTCTCTTCCTTCCCATGGGGTGCATTTGAATTAATCTCCTCCTTGAAATCGCTTGATTGATTGTTACTAATCGATTGATCGATTCAAACCGTTGGATTATACTCCAAAACAACCCAAAAAAGAATCCCATGGGAAGTTGTGTTTCGTCGCCATTGAAAGGCTCTCCTTTTGGAAAGAGACCGGTAAGAAGGCGACACAGTAGTAATAGCAGAACATCCTCTGTTCCTCGTTTCGATTCTTCAACTAATCTTTCCCGGAGATTGATTTTCCAGCCACCAAGCCGCGTTCTTCCCGAGCCTATCGGAGATGGAATCCACCTCAAGTATGATTTGGGGAAAGAATTAGGCCGCGGTGAATTTGGTGTCACTCATGAATGTATCGAGATCAGTACCCGAGAAAGGTCATTTCTCTGTTTTTTTTTTTTATATGTTGATTAATGTTTTTATTCTTTTCTTTTCTTCTCGGTTTGATTTCGTGTAACCGGGCATGCAGGTTTGCGTGTAAGAGGATATCGAAGGAGAAGCTAAGGACGGAGATAGATGTGGAGGATGTGAGAAGAGAGGTTGAGATCATGAGATGTTTACCAAAACATCCAAATATTGTTAGCTTTAAGGAAGCTTTTGAGGACAAAGACGCTGTCTATCTTGTCATGGAGATTTGTGAAGGAGGTGAACTTTTTGACCGCATTGTCTCTAGAGGGCATTACACTGAACGCGCCGCTGCATCTGTCGCTAAAACCATTCTTGAAGTTGTCAAGGTGAAAAACAAGATTTATAATCTCTGTTTTCTTTGTGACGGTTTTTTGCCTTCTTGTTTGGTTCTTTATGTTTGTTGTTGGTGAAGGTGTGTCATGAACATGGAGTGATTCATCGTGATCTTAAACCAGAGAACTTCCTCTTTTCGAATGGAACTGAGACTGCACAACTCAAAGCAATTGATTTTGGTCTCTCCATTTTCTTCAAACCTGGTACTAATTATCACAACTCTATTATAACATCAAAAGGTTTGAATCTTTATGTCATTTTCTTGAAAAAAAATCAAATGTATATTGCAGCCCAGCGGTTCAATGAGATTGTGGGAAGTCCTTACTACATGGCTCCAGAGGTTTTGAGACGAAATTACGGTCCTGAGATCGATGTTTGGAGTGCAGGTGTTATACTCTATATCTTGCTTTGTGGTGTTCCTCCCTTTTGGGCAGAAACCGAGGAAGGAATCGCGCACGCTATTGTGAGAGGGAACATCGATTTCGAGAGGGATCCGTGGCCAAAAGTCTCACGTGAAGCCAAGGAACTCGTTAAGAACATGCTTGATGCAAATCCTTATAGCCGGCTCACAGTCCAAGAAGTGCTTGGTATATTAATAATAACGTTTGATTATCGGTAAACAAACGTCATCAATTGATCGAAAAATCTATGTTTTACAGAACATCCATGGATCCGGAATGCAGACAGAGCACCAAATGTGAATCTTGGAGATAACGTCAGGACCAAGATTCAACAGTTCTTGTTGATGAACAGGTTCAAGAAGAAAGTCCTCAGGGTATATAAGTTTCTTGATTTCCCAAATTTTATGAGTTTACTTTCCCCTCTATAAGACTTGTTACTGATACGGAAATCGGACAATCTTTCAGATCGTAGCAGACAATTTACCAAACGAGGAGATAGCAGCGATAGTACAGATGTTTCAAACGATGGACACTGATAAGAATGGTCACTTGACTTTTGAGGAGCTAAGAGATGGGCTGAAGAAGATTGGACAAGTAGTTCCCGATGGCGATGTGAAGATGCTAATGGATGCAGCGGACACAGATGGAAATGGGATGTTGAGCTGTGAGGAGTTTGTGACACTGTCAATACATTTGAAGAGAATGGGATGTGATGAGCATTTGCAGGAAGCATTCAAGTATTTTGACAAGAACAGGAATGGATTTATCGAGCTAGATGAGCTCAAGGAAGCTCTTTGCGATGATAAGCTAGGCCATGGTAACGGTAACGACCAGTGGATCAAAGATATCTTCTTTGACGTAGACCTCAACAAGGTAAATGAA